ATAGGGTCCCTCACAGGTTTCTTGTCTTGTTCAAGACTTGGAAAGTGCTTTGTAAACTCTTAGAAGGAGGGACAATATATTGACATCATATAGATAATATATATGGTATCATATCATTAAGCTGATAGAGACAGGGGTGGTGGTAGTGAGCACTTAGACCAGAAGTCCTCGACCTATGGTTCACGACCCCTTGGGTGGCCGAACATACAACATTAGGAAGGTTGAGAACTACTGACTTAGATTCATCTTCCCACCCCATCTCAGAAGCAGGCACACACACTAGAAAATATACTCTTGTGAAATATTCTCCTGATAGCTTCAAGGTACCAGAGAACCACCTTGGCAGTTAAAGATTTGTTCTTTTTGGCTACTGGGTAGTCCCAGGTTTACTCTGAGAAACTTGGCTGAAACTCTTCTAAATTATTTTAACTTCTTTTTCAAATATATATATGAATAGTACATGTTAATTACAACCTTGGCATCAATACAGAAATGGCCTTCTCACCTTCCCCAGTCCTGTCTCCCACAGGTAACATTGGTCCACACCCACAGTTTCAAAATACGTAAATAGTATGCATGTGTACATATTAGAACATACCTGATGCTGGGTATCTTCCCTCTTACAAAGCTGGTAGTTTTTTTCCCCCAGTTCTGTAATACTCCACTGTAGTAACAGATCATAATTTGTGCTTGCCCTCTTAGGTCATTTCTGACCTGTAATTCTTTTGGAGACAGAGTCTCATGTCTCTAGGTCTCATGTCTCTAGCTTCAAACTGGATATCCCTGAGGATGTCATTGAACATCTGGTTGGTTCCCCCTCCCATCCCCCACATCCCAGTCTTCGCCTCTGAGTGCTGGAATCACAGGCTTGTGCCACAACTTCAGGTTAACGTGCTGGGGATCAGATCTAGGGTGTTCCGCACATTAGGCAAGCACTCTACCAAATGAACTATGTTCCAGTCTTCCAATTTGTGATTCTTTTTTTTTTTTTAAGATTTATTTATTGTGTATACAATGTTCTGCCTGCATGTATCCCTGCAGGCCAGAAGAGGGCACCAGATCTCATTACAGATGGTTGTGAGCCACCATGTGGTTGCTGGGAATTGAACTCAGGACCTCTAGAAGAGCAGTCAATGTTCTTAACCTCTGAGCCATCTCTCCAGCCCCCCAATTTGTGATTCTTACATGTGATGTTGTAATTAACCTCATTGCACATATACTTATGTGGACATGGTTTTATTTATGCAAAATTGATGCCTAGTATTCACGCAGTAGATATTTCCTTCACTTTGAGTAACTTTGTTGACTTCCGCTATTCTATTGGTCATCAACCATGTCTCAACACGGTGGAGCAGTCCAAGGCCGCTACTGGGGCAGAGCCAAGAGTGGTACTGGAATAGGCTGTTGCACAAATTGGAAAGTGTTATCTCGTAAGCGTTCATATCCTTCCCCTCTCACCTCATCAAACCACACATTCTTGCTGATAAGCAGCATCTGCATGTACAAAAAAAAAAAAAAACCTTCCAAGAGCACCAGCCTGAGGTTGCTTTAAATATACCAAGAAGGTCATGTCACAGCTAGTGAGTTTCATAAATAACCTCCTAATGAATAAAACCAAGAGGACGCCCAAACTTTCACTCTGCCAAAAGTGATCAGACTAGTCTCCATTGGAGACAGAGAGCATTGAGCCCTCACCAGCCAAGCGAGGCTCTTACATGCCCAAGGCGAGGTTCTACTCTGATGGGTTGCACACAGTTCCAACCTCTCTCAGCTCCCACAGTCCCAGGCCATGCAGCTCAACTCCAACTCCTGGGAAAATGCTGGAACAAATTCCAACTTCTGGAGTTGTCTGTCGTTTTAAGAACATACTTGCAGGGGGTCCATTTGTACTTACTGAGCATTCATGGACCGACACTTAATGCATCCAAATTTCTGGATCGACCATAATTCACCTGCTGCATTTGCACTTTTGGCTGAGGTATAGTTTTCCTAAATTGAAACATTTCTTAGGCTCAAAGATCTCCCTGGTGTTCAGAAGCAAAATTGGTTTCCTATGAAAGCTTGGCACTGCTATCATTAATTAACAGAGAGCAGAATGCCTCCGCGTGTTTACCTTCACAAAGCGTATCCATGCAATACACATCTTTCCCAGAGGCATAGTTTATTCCTATAGACCAGAAATTATGAATGTATTTAAAAATAAATGCATGTCTTTTACCAGCAGGGAAGTTTGGAAGAGCAGACTACACACTTCATCAAAGGATACCAGACATGGGGATGTGGAAATTCAATAAAGCCTCTTAGTAGGAGAAAGTAAATGATGTTAAACCTTTCAGTTTAGTCTGAGGTCATTTTTCTATGGTTTGGTTCAACATTCCCAACAATATATGGGTTCATCATCCAGCCAGTCACTAGCTATTTCCTAGCTGTATATATTTAATCTGATTTGGTGTAACAGAATGGGTGGTGTGTGTGGGTGTGTGGGTGTGTGTGTGTGTGTGTGTGTGTGTGTGTGTGTGTGTGTGTGTAAGAGAAAAAGAGAGAGTTTTTATTACTAGTTAGAATTTTAAGGATTCATGGAAAATTAGAACATGAGTTTGTATTGCTGTGAAGAGACACTATGACCACAACAACTCTTATTTTTTAAAAAAAAACATTTAATTGGGACTGCCATTTAATGGGTTCAGCCCATTATCATCATGGCCTGGAGCATGGCAACATGCAGGCAGATGCGGTGCTGGAGGAGTAGCTGAGAGTCCTACATCTTGCAGATAACAGCAAGTCAACTGAAACACTGGGCAGTATCCTGAGCATAAGAAACATCAAAGCCCACCTCCACAGTGACACACTTCCTCCAACAAGTCCACACCCACTCCAACGAGGCCACACCTCCTAATAGTGCCACTCCCTATGAGATTATGGGGGCCAATTACATTCAAACTACCACAGAACTCGTTCTTTATTTGTTTTTTGTTTTCTTGAAACGGAGTCTTAGCACATAGCCCTGGCTGACCTTGAACTCCTCCTTAACTTTGTGAATGCTCACATTACAGATGTGTGCTGCCATGCCCAACTTCAAGATAGATTGTTTTTAAAATGTGGTGTAGGGGTGGGGTTACAGTACAATGGTAAAGTGCCTGTCTAGCATGCACAGTACTTTAGATGATCCTTAAGAATTCAGAGAGAGAGAGACAGAAATAGAGAGAGAGAGAGAGAGAGAGAGAGAGAGAGAGAGAGAGAGAGAGAACACTGGAATGTTGCCCAGCTAAAAAGAAAGAAACCTTGTTATTTATGACAACACAGTATTTCAGAAAGATGCAGTCCTGGCATATAAGAAGTGGCCACTAAAGGTCGAAGGTGCCATGAAACCAAACAAAGAGGCAGAAATGATCCATGGACCCAGGGTGGCACAAAGAGCAATTTATTGGGGATTTACAGACAAAAATGTGTCTTAAGAGGCAGCAATATGGGTGGATCTCCACACTGCAACACAAGAGGAAATGGTTCATTCAGATGCTAAGCTAGACAAAGGTGGAACAATTGAATGTGCCTGAACTTCCCCAAAACTACTAACATCAATCAGTCTGGGTGTCAAGGTTGGCATGTCACACTAAGCTATTTTAACAATCTACATATCTTGAAATGTATGTTAACATCCAAAACAATGCACTGGGATCACAGCTAAGATGCCTATGGTCATGTCAAGCTAGATGTCTCCATGCAGATGATCCTGGGAGCATTGTGTTGCTGAGCCAGACTCAGAAAGATAAAGATGACTTGATCTCATCTCTATGGGGAATCTAAGATCCAGTCTTGTGGTGGTTTGAATGAGAATGTCCTCCACAGGCTTAGCTGTTTGAACACTTGGTCCCCAGTTGGTGGCGCTATTTGGAGGAGATATAGGATGTGTGGCCTTGTGGTAGGAAGTATGTCACTGGAGGCGGGCTTTAAGGGTTTAAAAACTCTATGCCACTTCTTGTTTGTTCTCTCTGCTTCATGCTTGGGGGTTCAAGAGGTGAGCTATCAGGTTTCTATTCCTTCTGCCGTGCCTGCCAATTGTTGCTATGCCTCTGACATGGTGACTACAGTTGACAATATTATGTCACAGCCTTGAAATTTTCTTTTTTTTTTTTTTTTTTTTTTTTTTTTTTTTTTTTTTTTTTTTTTTTTTGGTTTTTCGAGACAGGGTTTCTCTGTGTAGCTTTGCGCCTTTCCTGGAACTCACTTGGTAGCCCAGGCTGGCCTCGAACTCACAGAGATCCGCCTGGCTCTGCCTCCCGAGTGCTGGGATTAAAGGCGTGCGCCACCACCGAAGAAATTTTCTTAAATGCTCTCACTACAAGTAGAAAGAATAGAAAATGGAAAGTCTGTGAGGTGACGGATGTGTTAAGAGTTTGACCGAGGTGATCACGTCATAATGCGTCTACATATACCAAAACATCAAGTTGTACACCTGAAATGTCTTAAATGTGCACAGTTCCAATGGGTCAGACTTCAGCAAAGCTGAAAAATTAGAATCTCTTCAGATCCTGGTGCTGGAGAGTGAGACTGAAATAAATGTTCTTTGTGGGGGTTTGTTTTCAGTTGGTGGCGTCTGAGTCACGATATAGCGAAAGCTCTGCAATGTTTTGTAAGGTTAGCTACATTACCATATGCATTAAATGATTTCAAGCCATAATGTAACTGGGATTGTATTCGGTGGTGGAGTGATTGCCTAGCACGCACCAAGCCTCGGGTTCAGTCTACAGAACTGAGGGGGCGGGGGAGGGGCAGGGAAGATGGTATGTCCTTGAAGTCTGGAGCCTCACTGTATTTTTTATTTATTTAATTATTTATCTTTTGCTTCTATGACTTTTATAACAAGGTTAGGGAGGTGAGTGTTGCTGGTAAACACAGCGTTCAATAAACACTTGCTGACTTTAATTAGAGATGATCTCCTATGTTCCGCGATAGAAAACATCAAACATTTTAATTTAAAAATCCTACTCGGAATCCTTCAGGCTTGTCGCTCACAAGAAGCAGGAGGCACAGTGGGACCACAGCTGAAGGAAATAGCTTCTTGGCAGGCCTCTCTTCTCTCCCCCTTCTGGTGTGAGCACTGCCCGAGCCAAACAGAGCAATGCCATGTGTCCTGGGAGCGCCCGAGCAACATCAATTCTATTAGACTGAAAATGGAACCGAGTGCAGAGTCCAGCCGGCGAGAGGCTTGCTGGGGTCTTGGCAGCAAAGGACGGGCAGAAACAGGCATAAGGAGCCAGAGCACAAGCCAGGCCAGCTGCAAACCCGAAGGTCTTGTGTCCAGGCTGACAGGTGCCAGTCGTGCTGGTAAATGGATCACAGGACCTGCAGGATTCGTTCCCCAACCTGCCCTGTGATGTCCTTCATGCTCGGCTCTGTCCCACCTGCCCTCTGAACTCCCTGCTCCTTCATTTCAGCCCGCTTCAGCCTCTCACCTCTGTCTGCTTTTTCTTCGAAACAACAACCTACCCCTTCATATCCGGGTTGCGGCATTTCTTATTTGGTAACGCTTAAATGGCTTCTCTTAAAATAATGAGTGTCAAGGTCCCTCTGGCCTGTCTTGGGGACCCACTTCTGTGGCAGTTTCCATTGGGGAGCCCAGGCACTCTCCTTTGGTCCTTGAATATAGGGGAGTCAGAATCGCTCTCAGGTCACAATCCTCAAATGATGTAGTGGAATCAGACATAGCTCAATTTGTGAATACACAGAACCTCAGCCCAAAGGGAGGAACACAGGAGCAGAAGACGCACAGAGAAGGGACAGTTACAGTGTCAGGCAGCCGGCTACTGGTTGGCAGTGGGCACTGAAGGCCTGGCAATCAGGACGTGCTCAGGAACCATACCCGGCCATGTCACTGGGCATTGATACAGACTAACTCCAAATGAGAGGCTCCTATGCTTCCTACCAGGGTTGATCTCAGAACTGTGGTGGGCATGGAGTTGGAACCTAGCTTTACCAAGAGACAGAGGGTGCAGTCAAAAGAAAGGTGGACGGAAGACATGGTGATGTGGATACTTCCTGGAGAAGGTGTAGCCTTTGAAATTATTCTGTGTGATGGAAAAAAAAATTGCTCTTTCTTTCCACTCACATAATGTTTTAGAGAACTTGGGGGAAGGAAAAAAATGTTGGCATAGTTAGCAATTTTAGGTTTTTCCAAACTAAGCAGAAAATATTTTTGATAGCAACCATTCCCCTCCTCACAAAGATCATGTATCTACCACAGGAGTATACCTGGTTTAAAGATAAAGAATAAGTACCCCTTTGGGAAGGTCCAAATAGGGTCTCAAACCTTTCAATAGAAAAGCCCAGGCCAAAGAGGCCGGCTGAGTACAGGGGTAACATTTGAACTCATTCACCAAGATCAAAAGGTCTCCTCCCAAATGTGTGTCTATAATTTAATCCTCCCCGACACGTAATCTGGTTTGCTATTGTAAATCAATGCAAAATCACGACAGCAAATACTTAAATATATGCTTCAAGCCTGGACAATTGCCCAGAAGTAAAATGCATCCAAAGATCCAATATCCTGACATTTAATAAAAGTTTGAATTATATTTACAGCCTGCTATGATTTAATTTTCCCGAGTTCAATATTTAATAAAACTATAAAAATCTATTACATGTATCCTGTGCCATTGAGCAACTACAGCTGACCTGTCTTGTTCTAGTACCACACTGCAACAGATTAAATCCCAATTTCGCCAGGAACTAGTTGGGTAACAAATCATTCAATCTATCTGTCCCTCAGTTTTCTCCCCAGTTAAATAGGGAAGTAAAAGAGAATCTACCTAAAGTTGGTTGATGAGATGATTCCCTGACTGAGCATAAAGAGCTTGGGCCACTGCTGGGCCTGCTGGGCTCAGTCTCAATTAGTTAGGTTTAAGATATTTAAGGTGGAACTAGTTTTTTCAGTTTACACTCATTCTTTGTTGTTGTTTTTTTGTTTTGTTTCATTTTGTTTTTTTTGTTTTTGTTTGTTTGTTTGCTTGCTTGCTCACTGGTGTCAGATAACTGCACCCAAACTCTTTTTAGAGAGAGAAGAACTTTCCCAATTTGTGAATTCAACAAGGGCAATATGAGGTTGAGTGAGCCCATATTAGCAGTGATTTGTCTTGAATCAAGCCTGAACCCTGTAAAAACTGATGTAAGGGCAAACTCAAACTGTCCTAGGCTTCCGGGCTCTGAAGTTGATAAAAATTCCCACAAAACACCAGGAAAAAAAAAGGAGAGCTGGTAAATAACATACTGCTTATGTCTAATTCTGCCATTTCTACTGGACGCCCTATAACACTACGCAACATCCCTAGAGGCCGTGGACCATCAAGAGGCTAGAAGGCAGGCAGGGATGCTGGCTCGCTGTTTAAATGAATGGAATAGACTATGAGACTTGACTTGACAAGTGCCTTGATAATGCCTTTCTTCATGAATGCTCAAACTACATCCGCACAAAGTACTCAGGAGAGTGAGACAGATGAATGCAAATAGTTTACTTAATTTTTTTTTCCTCTGTCACACTGTTGGGAACTTTGATTTTCTTCTTGGATTTCTGATGATTCTGGAAGAATGTGGCACAGACTGAGTAACCATAACAGCTTCTACTTATCAACAGCTTATGTGTGTTTAACCTGTAGAGCAGTCCAGGCTCCAGTTATTACCCTTGTATCAGTTTTAAGGGTGATGAAATAATGGAAAATGGAAAGATTGAATTTCTTCTAAAATCACATAGCTATTGACCTGAGGATGTCAGCCTGAGGCCAAGTCTTATCTAACTCAGAAAACACCACTTTTAACAACCGCTCTGCAGTAAACGCTGTTTTCTGTAGAGGCCAGGGAGGTGGCTCCATGAGCAAACTGTTTGCTGTGCAAGCACAAGTTCCTGACATATCCCCATTACCTATGTAAAAAGCCAGGTGTGGTGGTGTGGGCCCCAGGGCCGGGAGTTGGAAACAATGGCAAGCCAAACTGGCAATCCCCGGCTCAGCAGAAGATCTTGTCTCCAAAACTAAGGTGGAGAGCTGTAGCTAGAGTTTTCCTGCCTGGCCCACAGTCAGGACAAATCTCTCTCACCTGCCAGTCCCACAGCTGCTCAGACCCGACCAAGTAAACACAGAGACTTATATTGGTTACAAACTGTATGGCCGTGGCAGGCTTCTTGCTAACTGTTCTTACAACTTAAATTAATCTATTTCCATTAATCTATACCTTGCCACATGGCTTGTGGCTTACCAGCATCTTCATGTGCTGTTTGTCATCATGGCGGCTGGCAGTGTCTCTCTGACTCAGCCTTCCACTTCCCAGCTTTATTCTCCTCCTTGTCCCGCCTATACTTCCTGCCTAGCCAATGGCCAATCAGTGTTTTATTTATTGACTAATCAGCAACACATTTGCCATACAGAACATCCCACAGCAGAGAGCAGTAGAGGACACCTGACACTGATCTCCCGGTGCCACGTGCACACTCACACACTGGTGCACACTCATGCACACAGCACACAATTGCAAACACATACAAGGATTCACAAAATAACCAATAAGAGAACCTTGCCTACTACGTGGTTAAGAAAACCAAAATGTAAGTCAGGCATGGTGGTGCACGCCTTTAATTCCAGCACTGGGGCGGCAGAGGCAGCTGAATTTCTGAGTTTGAGGCCAACTTGGTCTACAAAGTCAGTTCCAGGACAGCTAGGGCTACACAGAAGAAACCCTGTCTCAGACAAAACCACCCCCACCAAAACCTGAAATGCAGAGGTATGAAGTGCTTGTCCAAATGCTTCATCAAAGAAAATCCTGGGACTTGAACTCAGGACTCATGTCTAACAACCCAAGACCCTTTCTCCTGAACCTGATTGCCTCCTTTTACCAAAAAAGCAATAGTTTTCTAACTTTGGTAAATCAGATCCTCCTGAGAGAATGCTAAGAATGACTTCCTTTGTAAGATATAACTTATTCTTAGTTCACAAACTCAATCAATTTTTTTTGTAATCCAAAAAATGTTAACGCAAACTAAATTCTGCAAGCTAGTAGTCAAAATATCCATGGTTGTGCTTCTTTTCTTTTCTTTTAATTTTCCTGCATTTGAAACTTCCAGTTAGATCATGCTTCCTGACCCCTTTCCAGGGAATGGAACTGATGAAGGAAAGAGAGAAAAAGAAAGAAAGAAAAAAAGAAAGAAAGGAAGGAAGGAAGGAAGGAAGGAAGGAAGGAAGAAAGGAAGAAAGGAAGAAAGGAGGGAGGGAGGGAGGGGAGGGAGGGGAGGACAGGAGAGGTGAGGGAACAGTTAAAATCAACCATGCCTGCTATTTATTCACCAGATAGTTGCAAGTGACACCTGTGGGTGACAAAGTTCCTTGGCGAGGTCCAGCATCTTACCTACAATGCCTATTATGCCGGTCCATTTGTTGAAGATGCCCACAGTACACCAGCCATGTGATGATCGCTCACCAAAAGACATACACAGAGTGCAAACCTGATTGTTATGACAACGAAGTTTGTTTGTAGTTTAAAAGGAAGGCTGGTTTTTTTTTTTTCCTACACATTTTACTGCAGCCATGAGAGGGGCTGGAATGTGAGTCCTCCAACCCAACCCCGTAAATGGAGCATATTTAAAGTTGCAGGCAAGGAGGGCTTGGTTGTTAAAGATGTTACACACAAGAGAAAGAACCCGTGTGCTTTGGTCTGGAACAGTCAGAATGATGCCTTGAGGATGTCTCCAGAATTAACTTGACTCCACTCATGACAGGATCAAGGATGTAAAGGTTATCACTCATTTGAAGTATTTTGTTTTGAGATGAGACTTCCTGGGTACCATGTACACACAGAACTGACTAGAGAAGTGTTTTCCCGGCTCAGCCACTCAGAGGTTACCACTGCCATGGTCCAAGGAGCCCATTTACTGCTCAGGCCGATGGCAGACCTTGTTATCGTCCACGTGACCTTGCTTTTGTAGTCATGCAGGATGCAAAGACTGCAGCGTCATATAGGCTGCCAGACAGATTTAAAAAAAATAGCCCAGGTGGCTAATCAGTGTGTGGTGGGTTTGGAGTCCCTGTAGGGCTTGCCAGAGTGGGCAATGCATGAAGACTGAATTCAAGTCTAAGTTGCCAGAGAAGACTCCGGGATACTGGAGATGTCAGAATTGTAGGGCATATGCCAAGGAAAACCACAGGTAATGACAGAGCCAGCTCAAGAGAAGAGACCATATGGTCTACAAAAGGCAAGACCATGGGGGTGGGGCCACCCAAACCCTTTGGAGCTGAGATGATGCTACCATGGCCCTGGGTCCAAGACACAGAGCCACAGCGTTTATTGTTGGCCCTGTTGGGCTGTGTTCTTGCTCTGGTTCCATCCCTCTCTCTATGCCCCATTTCTCCCTTTGGAAAAAGAATGTGTACTCTCTGACACTGTATATTTGAAGTAGGTGACTCTCTTTTTAATTTTACAGGGGTTCACAGCCAGAAGATCCCATTGAGTCTTGGTAGAGATGCTAGAGTTGCATTTCTAATGTTAAGATTATGTGGACTCAAAAATAGACTAAATATATTTTGCATTAAAATATAACCAGGAGCCTTTGGGGGACAAGGGTAGAATATTATGGCTTAATGTGAAATGTCCCTCCATGGACTCAAATGTTGAGCATGGTAGTAGTCAGCTGGGAGCAGTATTAGGAGAGACTGCAGAAATTTTAGACGCTGGAGCCTCATTAGATGAAATAGACCACTGGAGGGCATGTCTTGAAAGGTTATACATGGCCCCATGTGCCTGTCTGGCTCTCTGCTTTTTACCCAGCATGAGATGAATGGCTTTGTCCTTCACATGTTCCTGCCACCATGATGTCCTCCATAGCCCAGGATCAATGAAACCTATGAATGGAACGGAACCTATGAAACAGCAAACCCAAGTAAATCCTCCCTCCCATGGGTTACTCCCATTGAGTCTTTTGTCATAGCAAGGAGAAAAATTGGTAGGGGGATTGGTAAAGCACGCTTCTGGAAATGTCTGTGAGGATAGTCCTGGAAAAGACTCACCAGTGGGAGAGCAGCTGAAAGGGAAGGGCCTACCATGGATGTGAGTAGTACCACCAGGTAGTCCTGGGTGAAGCAAGAGTGGAAGGGAGAGAAAAGCCAGCCAGCCCACACAAGCTCCATTCTCCCTGAACATGTAATTTTCCTGCCATCACTGCTTGTGGTCACCGGACTCCAGCTTCTTCAGTCTTTCAACACACACACACACACACACACACACACACACACACACACACACACACCAGTGACTCTCCACGGAGCTTCTGGGACTTCAACCTTAGACTGGGTGTGCATCCTTGTTACCAGGATGCCAGGTCTCTGGAATGAGCAGCTACCAGGTCCTCTGCCACTACATCTTACAGACAGCCCTTGTCTGTAATCAGCTTCCAATCATGTAAGCCAATCTAAGCAAAATCATGTTTATGATAATTACTTATTCCTTTATTCCAGACATCTTC